ATCTATAAATCTTACTGGTCTCTGGTGTCATTGATTAATGTTTGGCCGGGCTTGTTGTGGTTTCTCTGAGTTCCCAGGTTAAAAAACCGAACAACACCTGTCATCGCTTCAACATCTGCCAAGGCCATGGAGCCTCCTGTTGCCGAGGCTTCATCTTCAACAACTTCGACAAATTTAAGGGAGGGTACTGCAGTCGAAAATAATTCTGTAGCTACGAAAAATGCCTCAACATCGACTGAAGATATGCATCTCATAACCCCTGTGGTAAAGAATGACCCTCTCGTTTGTGAAACTACTACACCACAAAAGTCGCCTTAAGCTGAGGAGAAGAAATTGAAATATTACCTCCAATGTTGAAACGTGTCAGAAGGGCTCTTTTTCCAACCAGCGCAGAAATCGCCGAGAAAAAACTTCTCTTCAGTGCAGTCTGGGAGACCAAAGAGGGCTTGACCGGCAAGTGGTCATTCAGAGCTAGCATTCGCAAGTTTGATCACAAGATTCCCGCTAAACTCTTTGTTCYGGAGTCTGTGAATTCAGAGTGCGGTGTCTTCAAAACKCTGCTGGCTATTCCGATCGATGAATGGTTACAGAAATTTGATGAAATAGGAGAGAATATCTCTGACCTGTTCCGCAGTTCTCGCTTCTGGAAAGATAGTGGCTGTGAGAAAAACATTAACCTTCTGACCTCACAACGCTCCGCCTCCTGTGACGTCACGACGCCCCCCCCCCATGTGATGTCATAATGCTCCGCCCCCACAAGCCTCAGTTTTCCTATATAAGGAGACGGGGGTTACTTTTCCACTTCAACTCCACTCTACAAACTCTGCAAACTCTGCAAGACGTGAAAAGAAGAAATCAACATGGCCGAACAGTCAAAACAGAACACTCTCACATCCTGCTGGGGCATGTACGACGTTGACGTACCTGAAGGATGCAACGTACCGTATTTCCCATCTTCACCGGTCGCTTATTCTCAATCCTCCGATTCTTCATCCGCTCCTTCTCTGGGCGAGGTTCTACCGATGGCCGCTCGTAGGAGAAAAGCGAGACAGCTGGCCTCCATCACCGAGCACAAGGCTGGCATCAAGAACTCAGCTAGCGTGCACAAGACCAGCATCGAGAGCTCAGCTAGTTCCTCCGTCAATCCCAGTGAAGGGGAACAGGAAATGGATAGCGTGCACAAGACCAGCATCGAGAGCTCAGCTAGTTCCTCCGTCAATCCCAGTGAAGGGGAACTGGAAATGGACCAACGCCCGTCCTCTTCCTCCGTTCAAGAATGTCACTGCAGGCACACCCGCCAACGAAGCTCTGCTGAT